GAATTGATCTTCTGTGCCAAGAAGATATATTTTATACAATATCTAATTAGTTTTATACAATATTTAACACTGAAGTTAAGAAGCAATACAAGTGTTTTTAGGATTCTGGGATGCTAATTTTTTCTTTCATTTTTCTTTATTAAGAAATTTTCTACTCACTCCACATACTATCCACAGATTCCCCCCTCCACCCTCCTCCCTCCTCCCACCCCCCAGCCCTCTTTCCCAAGCCACCCCGCATCCCCACATCCCTGGGAGGCTAATTTTATACTTATCTTAATTTCAAGAGCTAGAGACTAGCTGACTTGCCATTGTAACAGATCCTGAGACAGCATAATTACCTGTTAAGTAATTTTTTTTAAAAAAAATCAATATTCATGAAAATACAACATCTTTGTGTTTTTCTCTGTGAATAAAATTATCCTAATTTTCTACCAACTTCTGCATTAATGAAACCAAGGGCTCCACTTATAAAATAGGAAGCAGAAATTCTTGGAAAAGGCAACCTATAGTCCAAGAACAAGCATCCTCCTAAAGCCAAAGACATAGGTAAGACAGAGGGAGAGAAATGGGAACTCGTGGGGCTTTTATTTACGGGTGGGGGTGTCAAAGAACAGCTTGTAGGAGTTGATTCTCTCCCTCTACCATGGGGACTCCTGGGATCAAAGTCGGGTCATCAGCCTTGGCAGCAAGCACCTTTACCTGCTGAGCCATCTCATCAGCCCAAGTTCTTAAATTTTAAAGAAAAGGTCTAATGAGTTATACTATCTCAGGATGAAATTTCACAACTTCATTGAGACTAACTAGAAATCATTTGAAGGCGAGTTATGATTTAATCTGACTTATTTTCCTTTTTTTTTTTAAGTAAGAATTTCTCAATTCACCGGGCAGTAGTGGCCCACGCCTTTAATCCCAGCACTTGGGAGGCAGAGCCAGACAGATTTCTGTGAGTTCAAGGCCAGCCTGGTCTACAGAGGTACCAGGACAGGCACCAAAACAACACAGAGAAATCCTGTCTCAAAAAACCAAAAAACAAAAATAAAACAAATTTCTCAGTTCTATTTTGTGTTTTAATGTTCCTCATTTATTTGTAATATTTCCAAGTAATTTTCTTTTTGCTATGAAATAAGCATTAATATTTCCATTGTATATATGAGAAAATTAAGGTAGGAAAATAGGAAGCAATTTAGGGAGTCAAAATAGAGAGTGAATATGATTAAGAATTAGAAAGACATTGGTTTAAATACATTAAGATCACCTACTAACAATAAGTAAATTTCTTTGACTTCTGGGACCTGCCTTTTCATCTATAAAACCGAAACAATACTACCCATCTCTTTCCTGTAAGGCACAAACAAAGTGTCTAACAGAATGCTTAGCATGTAATCAGCCATTCAGTACAGGGCCCGCCCACCAATCCACCATCCCATTTTCCTCATTTAGTACAATGGATATATAATCAATCCATAATGCCATTGTGAGGGAAATGAGGTACAATGAACGCAGAGATCCCTGGCAAGCCCAGAACCCCACTCATGTGCTCCTTCCCTCCCTCCCTCCCTCACTCACTCTAGGTCTCAAAATGACTAGGTAGTTGAGCCACAATCAAATCCAAGCATTGGCCCCTCTACAGAACTGCCTCTGCACACACAGCTTGTTTATAACACTAAGTGAAAAATCTGCTTAAGTTGGCTGCTTCATCTGTGGTTTTTATGTGTCCCAAATAAAATCTAACTCATTTCTAAGGTGGTTTCATCTTTCAGTTATCACCCCCCAAATATTATAATGCCTCTTTTGAAAATACTTTTTTGTCCAATAGCTATTGTTCCCAAACGTCTGCACTATGTCCTAAATAATACATAAACTATTAAAAGTGCATTCCTTAGGACAAAGCATGTCTAGACATTTAAATTATTCCATTCAGTTTGACTTCAACGATACTAGTTAGTACTTTAATTTTTCATTTTTTTCTATTTCCTCCCAAATAAAAAGTCAGGTAGTAAATGTGGAAAATAAATATAGATTTGCAAAGATTAAAAAACAGAAGAGTCAAAAATGTGGATCAGATCTCAATGTATGAGGCAATGACCTTCAAAACTGGCTATTAACAATGTTCTTCACAGGGGAGCAATTATCCTACAATCCTCCTATGTATACTCTCATTTCTCCTGGTCGACAGATGCATTTCCATATCAGAAAGGATGAAAGAGTAGGCCTGTGCCTGGGAGAACCTTCTTTGCAAAGACAGAAGACATTCTGGTTACCTTAATGATCACATCCTGAAGTCCAGCTCACTAGAACTGCATTATGAAATGCTGCTAAACCAATACCTTGACAGAATTGCCGTACAACTGGAGTTTACCAAACATGGCTTTCATGACACCAACCCACTGGTATATTTCTAATTCTGTATTGCCCTACATGGTCTCTGGCTATTTTAAAAGCCATAAAAATATTTCTAAAATAGACACCATATCTAAATGAAAGTATAACAGTTCAGGAAGAAAGGAGTCCAAATCATCGACAAAAGATTTAAAATATATAGTATTGCCATTCTTAAAGTATTGAAAATAACGCTTAGCTAAATAAGGAGCCTATCCCTCCTTCCCATGTTAAAACTGCACCGAGTGTTTAACAAGTAAGCACATGTGGACACACACATACACACATTACAGACACAGACAGACAGACAGACAGACACACACACACACACACACACACACACACACACACACAGTAGAAATATAAAATGGGAAAGTTGCTAAGAAAAGTTTAATCTCCAAATGCTTTGTTTAAAAAGCTGTATATAGAAAAATATTAGAGTCCTATAGATAATTGTCTTTTTCTCAAACCTTTTCTCATGTGGATAAAAACAAAGGCAAAATATTATCTAAACAGTGGTGTAAAAAATGGCAAATATGCTACAATTCCTCTGTTTTAGAGTTGGCACCAAAATCACCACGTACAATGATTAACACATCTAGCCTGTGTAAGGGGCCATGACTAATTTTTATAACGTTAAATTATAAAATAAGAGCAACAAAAAATGAACACGAACACTAGAATACAGTAAACATTACTCCAATAAGTCCAATTTAACTTTAAAATATTTTTTCTCAGTGACAATAAGAACCATCCACAATTACAATATTAATTAACCTCACCAGCTCTGAGGACAAGGGAGAATCAAAAGTTGCCTTTCCTGATACCTAAAACCAGAAGATTATAAACATTTTTCGAGAAGTGATGTTTCCTTTGATCTCTACACGTTGGCAAGAGTTAATGATCTTCTCTACTGGAGAAATCTTATGTCACTATATACCACAAAAGTATTCTTAAGGTTTATGAAGTCTAAACCTCACACTGCCCTCGGCAGGCTATTGCACACATTTGTTAAATTTTTAAACGAAAAGATAAAGACTTTAAAAGCTCTTGACAGTGTACTCAAACTGCGAAGGTGTCAATTCCATGTTTTCTCCTCCTCCATTAAAACAAAACAGGGAGAAAACTGTACATAGAAACAATGACACCATAGAAACAGAAAGTAGCACGCCATTGAGTAGGGAAATAATACATACCATCTCTCCGTCATAGCCAATTACAAAAACCCTTTCACTTAATGGCTAGCATCTTTATGGGCATTTAATCTGTATTAAGTAGCCTTCAAAAGATAGTCTGTGCTCTATCTCTACTCTCCTGGATCTTTGGCAGCAGTCAGCACTTAAGCTCAGGGCTTGGGGAGGGGGAGTCCTTGGAAGGGGGCAGGCTGAACTAAGCACAGTCAGCATTAAGCAGCTGCTCTCAGACACTGGAGCGTCTTTCTCACACGTCTCTATTTTATGCTATTGAGCATTGTCGGCAAGATGGATGGATGGATGGATGGATGGATGGATGGATGGATGGATGGATGGATGGGATGGATGGATGGATGGGGGCATCCTGCGGGTAGGGTCTAGGCAGGCAGTTTTTGTCACATCTGAGCCTAGAAGCCTCCTCCAGATTCTTGGGGGAAAGGAAAGGGATCAGGTGAGACCCTCCCGGGTCTAACTCAATTTGCTTCTCCACAAAGAGCAGTTTCTGGCAGTGAGCGCAGGGTCGGTCCTCTGGTAGAAGAATTAAACACGAGAGCATTGTCGGTGCTTTCAATCTCTGACTTTATAAAGGAGAGACTGCATTCCCGGGGAAAACACTATATGACTCCTGACGCGCCACACAGCAGTAGTGAAGGGACACAAGCCAGGGGTTGTAAAAAAAATCCTTTCAAAACGCCAGGTTCTGAAAGAAATGCTGTGCGGCATTATTGCATTGTTGGCTTTTCTATAGTCTCCGGTTCTTTCCAGCCACTGCCAACCTCCAAATCTCCGGGACTTGTTGCTAAATCTTTGCCTCACGCCCCCCACCCCCAGAAATAACCAACACGTTGAGATTTGGGGATCAAAAGACGAGGAAGGGAGCTAAACCCTCAAAGCACAGAGGGCTGGGCGCCTTCAATAGGCCACTCTGCATGGGCTGCGCGTTCCGTCTGACTCACAAACGCTCGAGAGAAATTATGACATAAACCTTTATCCTTCCAACCAGGGAGATAAAGGCTGGCTGGCGGGCCTGGCGGGGCCGGGGGAACCTCAGCCCGCGTCCCGACGGGGCGACCCAGGCAGGCGTCTCCTGCCCTGCCCGCCTAGCTCCGGACGCCCGCCCAAAGGTGCTACCTATCGGCCGGCTGGAGGAGCCAAGACCCGGGGTCCTCCGCCCGGGAGGGCGCAGAGCAGAGGAGTTGCGGGTGCGGGACGCGACTCACCCCGCAGGGGCGCGCGGCGCGTGGTACCAGCCCCCGGCTGGGCTCGGGCAGGGATGCCGCGCGCCGGGCGGTGCGGCTGCCGGGCGGACAAAGCGCTGCGCCGGGGCTAGAGCTGGGGCGACCCCGGGCGGCGGCCCCCCGCCAACTTGGCCGAGTCTGGGGAGCGGGATCCCGCGAGCGGGCGGGCGGGCGGCGCGGCGCTGACCTGGATGGTGCAGGTGTACTCGCTGTCGTCCAGCAGCCGCACGGTGCAGCTGTACTCGCGCTCCAGACTCCTGCTGCTGCCGCTCATCAACCTGCTCAGCATCTTCCCGCCCGCTCGCCCGTCCCCGGGAGCGACGCGGCGGCGCTGCAGACTCTGGACCCGTCGCCCTTCAGCGCGGCAGCTCCGCGCCGGGCCCTGGCACCTGTACCATCACCCTGGCCGGATCGCCGCCGCTGCCTCCTCCCGCTCCACTCTTCTTCCTTCTCCAGAGCCACCTCCGCCTCCCCCCCCAAGCCCCAAGCAAGCTGGGTTCTCTCCCGGGCGCCCCACTGCCCGTGCCCAGCTCATGGGGCGGGGCCTAGGTAGGGGGCCAATGGAGGTCAGCGCGGCGGAACCGATTGGCAGGAAGAAGAGCCAATCATGATAGGGACTAGAAATGATGAGCGGGCTGAGGAAGCAATCATCGCAAAACAGCAGTACCGAACCCAGTCGGACCAGCCCTCTAGCGTCCCAAGCCCTCTCTCGCTCCCTTCGCGGGCGGTGGTTGGTATGAATGCTGTTTGCCTCGGCTGGGCCATGTGTGGACACTTGACAAGATCGGTGTCTGCTACCTGGAATAACATTTGAACTGTTCCAGGAGTCAAGTCCTGCACCCTGCAACGCGCGGTTCCTGCCCTCTTGGAAACCAAGGCGAGGAGGCGGCACCTGCAGAAAATAGGCACCCACGAGTCCAGACCAGGCGGCTGCCCCCACCTGTGCGCTACCCTAAGTCTGCTCCATGGGCCCCTGTTCTCGCGCACCCTTAATTTGGTGAACATCTGTCTTACAATAGCTACTTAGACTGCTGCGACCACAGAAGCTTGTAAGCGCCCGGATTTAGCGCCTAGAAATCCCTGCGCTCTAACCCTCCTTTTATTATCAGAAGACAAAAGGAGCCTGAGGTGTGCTCTATAGCTGGGCTAGGAACAGGAAGTGATGGACCTTTCCTTGCACTTTTAGAAAGAATTACTGCATCTTCAGACTTCCTCAGCAAAACACAATAGGTCAGGAGCTGTACAGCACACAAAGAAAAGGGGGAAATGCTTTCTTTCCTTTGTGTTCTCCACATCTGCAGACTTAAAGTTCCTTTCCAGAACTTCACTAAGAGACATATTCACCCTCAAAGATTTTATGATTAGTAATATGAGCATGTGCGCGTGCGGGGAATATGAACACTGAGGGGCCACGCACAAGTGTGGAGGTCAGAGAACAACTTTGTGGAATCAGTTCTCTCCTTCCACTTTTACGTGTTTTGCAGTGGCTAAACTCGTGTAGCCAGACTAGCCTGGCAACACGATTAGCACCTTTGTCCACTGAACCATCCCACTAGCTCTGCCCTCAGAGATTTCAATGGAAGGAAATGTCATAAAGGAATCAAGCTAGAACAGAGGTGTAATTCAGTGGTAGAACACTGGCCTAGCGTGTGACAAGATCCAGCGCTGAAACAATGTCAGTGCAGGACGTTAGTGCTGTGAGAAATATATTCGTTTAAAATAATGAATTATTAATAATTTCCTATTACCTGTATGCTCTTATGTTATCTTCAAAACACAATATTAAAACCCCTACAGCAGACTAGAAAAAAAATCTGACCTATTTTGATTTTAATTTAATTTTGTCTACTTGCTTGCCTGGACTTGGGGATCAAATCCAGAACCTTGCATTTGCTAGTTAAGGGCTTGGGGGTAGCTCTAATATTGAGCTACATCCCCAACCTTTGCGTTTTTTAGACAGGTTTCACTATGTAGCTCAAATGTCCCCCAAATGGATCCCCCTTCAAGTTCTCCAGTGTTTGGATTAGAGGCATGTGGCACCTAGCTGGCTCTTGACCTTTACAGCATGCTTCACCAGTGTCTTTAGATTCCAGTAACCCCACTCCCATCACCTTAGTAACGTGGACTGCTCCCTTGCTGCATTTAATAGCCATGGGAAGAAGTTCCTCTTTTCAATGTAATCCTGACATAGTTACAAAACTAAAACCAAAGATTCAAATGCTGTCTACTTTATAACCTGGGAAGTAACTTGGGGCCTAGAATACAGATGTAGACATTCTATAAATGATGAACTGATAAATGGAATTAACAGGCATTCCATTATATCTACAACTCCAAGGAAGATCCATAAGAAACTAGGAACTTCAGGAAGGTCTTGTAGATAAGTATAATCACTACTATGTTAAAAGGATAGTCTATTAAGTCCAGCCTTGTTGTATAACTGGGAAAGAATGGAAATTTTCAAGCAGGAAGCACTTTTGTAGAAGGCAAGAGTTGCTATTTGTTATAAAATCTAAACAAGGAAGGAAAAATGTCCAAGAAGCTAGAGGAAACCCATTAGTGTGATGATGGGGACGTGTCTTTAACAGGTTATGCAAATAAGCAGCTGTTAGAATAAAAAGAAAAGCACCATGAATCCAGAAAAGCTGTAAAGAACTGAATGCTGTCCTCAAAGTGGGGCCACAGATGCAATCGAGAAGGGTGAGATGGTGGCTGCTGTGCCAGCGTTTTAAGCAGCATCTCTGCTTAGTCTAAGAAAGTCACGTCTGCCTGGAAGCTCCCCAGTTCAAGATTCACCCACATTTGTGCGTAAGATACATATGCAAACTGTCCTTTCCTCTCTGATACAGAACAGAGGGTGGAAAACAAAAAGAAAGAAAGAAAGAAAGAAAGAAAGAAAGAAAGAAAGAAAGAAAGAAAGAAAGAAAGAAAGAAAGAAAGAAAGAAAGAAAAGAAAGGAAGGAAGGAAGGAAGGAAGGAAGGAAGGAAGGAAGAGAGAGAGAAAGAAAGAAAGAAGAAAGAAGGAAGGAAGGAAGGAAGGAAGGAAGAAAGAAAGAAAGAAAGAAAGAAAGAAAGAAAGAAAGAAAGAAAGAAAGAAAGGAATCTAGTATATGCCTCTAAAGCAAGATCATGGGCAGAAGTTTATGGGAAACTGGAAAGATGGGGTTCCAATAAAGGTGAACAAAAAATACTTTGCTTGTTTTTTTCTCATTTGTTGAGCCCAGTATGGAGAAGGTTGGTTCACAAAAGGCTGCATGTGGGACTGAGGATATAGTTCAGCTGGTTGAGGGCCTGCTTGGCTTGTACAAAACTCTGGGTCCTATTCCAGAAGCACATAGAATAGGGTGTGTTGGTGTACAGCTATGATCCCGGCACTCAGAAGGTAGAGGCAAAAGGATTAGAAAGTTCAAGGTCACCTTTCTGCTACAAAGTGGATTTTAGGCCAGCCTATGCTAAAACCCTGTCTCAAAAAAACAAAACACAAGGCTTCTTGTGCCTTTGAGAACCACAATGTCCTGCTTTCATGTTTTTGAAGTATAAGGAAGCTATATTTAAAACAAAATTGCAAATTACAATGGTTGTGAACCCCACCTTCCAAGTTATCAGTATGCTGGCTCCCTTCTCCATTGTGAAGGGGTCCCCAGGTGTCCTAGTTTTGTTTCCTGTTTCCTGACAAAAGCAATGTAGGGGGAGAGGGTTTAATTCTAATTCTAGGTTACAGTCCGTCCTTGTGACTCAAATCGGCAGGAACTTGGAAGCAACCATTCACAGCCACAGTGGAGCTGAGAGAGAGTAAGTGCAGACATGCTTGTACTCAGCTCACCTTCTCCACTTGTATACAGTCCAAGACCCAACCCAAGGAAGTTACTTGTACCTCTCACAGATGTGCAGGCCTTCCTACCTCTATTAATGTAATCAAGACAATCCGTACAAATGTACCACAGTCAAGCCGAACCTAGCCAGTTCCTCATTGAGACATTCTTGTCAGGTGATTATAGATTCCGTCAAGTTGACACCAGGAGAGGTACCACCTCCCAGATATGCCTGAAATATCGGGATGCCTTTATTTCAGATGCCCCACGTCACCCATACCCTGCTGGTCTCTCCAACCAGTACATCATTGCCCTAGGTTTTGGCAGGAAGGAGGATTGCCTTTTCTTTTTCTTTTCTCTCTTCTTCCCTTTCCTTTCTTTCTTCCTTCCTTCCTTTCTTTCTTTTTCTCTCTTTCTTTCTTTTGTCATTTGTTTGTCCTTTTGCTTTTTAAGACAGAGTCTCTCTACACAGACCTGGCTATCCTGGAACTCACTCTGTAGACCAGGCTGGCCTTGAACTCACAGAGATCCACCTGCCTCTGCCTCCCAAGTGCTGGAATAAAAGGCGTATGCTATCATACCCAGCAATATTGCCTTTCCTTAACCAGAACGTCACTAACACAGTCCTTCTCATCAAAGTCTCCCTATGTAGCACAGCTAAGACCAGGCTCTGATTTGTGGGGCTGGAAATGTGGTTCATTAGTAGTGTTCTTGCCTAGCACATGTGAAACCCTGTGTTCTGTCCCCAGCCCTAGAAGAAAACAAAAGAAAAAATGGACTATAACTTCTAACAATACTTTGAAAGGTATGACATGGCTGTCCTTGAAGCCATTGTGAACTGAAAGCCCAAGGGCCCTAAGTTTTCAGACTGCTCTACGTCCCCAACAGAAGTCCCCCTGACCGTGTTTAGGACATCCTGGTCCAACAATTCTTCTTAGGTCAGAGTCAGTTTTTAAAGTCTCATTTTCTGTCCCAGATACTATCTCTTCCTAGAGTGACTGAGGTGGAATGTAACCTCTGTGCCCAAGGGGTGACCTTGACCTCTGATTCAATGAAACGACTGCACATATTTTACTTGACACAGGATCTCACGTAGCTCAAATTGGCCTTCAACTTGCTACGTAGTTGAGGATGACTTTGAACTTCTGGCTGTCTTCCTGCCTCCACCTGCTTAGTGCTATATTTCAAGTATGTGTCAGCACTGCCAACTCAAGACACCTTTCAAAATAACAGCCTGAGTGTGGTAGCTCATGCAAACAGCAAGATTGCAGCAAGTTCAAGGCCATCCTCGGCTACACAGAAATTTCAGGGGCAGCCTGTGCTACAGAGTGAAACCCTGTCTCAAAGGGTAAACTGGTAGAGCAGATGACTCAGTGGGTAAAGACACCTGTTGACAAGCCTGAAAGCCTGAGTTCAAATCCACTTGGTGAAAGGAGAGACCCAACTCCCAAAAACTGTCCTCTGACATCCACCCCCATGCTATGGCATTTGCCCTACTCAATGAAAATGTAATAAAATACAAAAGAAAATAAAAAGAATAGTTTAAAGACTGGGGAGATAGCTCAGCATTACAAGAATGTGCCAGCACTCACAGTGCAAGACAACAATTTCTAAAATAATAGTTTAACTGATGGTAGTAGCTCACGAAGGCAGAAAGCAAGTTGAAAGTGACACATGCTTGCAATCCCAGAACTGACGAGGTAGAGACAGAAGGAT